ACACATTAGAATCTATGGGACACAATGAAAGCAGTATTTTTTTTTTGATCAAGGCTATTTGGAGTCCTATATGCCTCCCTTCTCTGTATGTCAAATTATTTTCCCCTGGGAACTTTTCTGCCATCACTTCTGTGAACAGTTTTTTTATATCGTCTGCACTCTTTCTCCTGTTTCTTCCTTGACTCTGATCAGTCTTATGTTATTCTTCTTTGCATTGTCTAGCAGCTGCTGGATTGATTTCTCATGGTTCCTTACTATTTTAAAGAAATTTTTCTTTTCCTGGTCACTAATAGCAATCTCATTTTCTATATCTGAAATTTTGTCCTCACATTGGCTCATTCTGCTGCATAAACTTTCAGTGGAGTTTTTAGTCTTCTGGAAATCTGTTTTCATCTGTTTTATGGATCCCATTTGTTTCCTATGTTGAGATTCCATCATGTTCCTCAGCTCCTCTATATTTTTTATATGTGTCCTCTGTAGATTTATTAATCATATCTTGCACTATGAGCACAATCTCTGCTGTTATCTGAGAAATTTTTTCTGATTTCATTTTTTCCAGATCCTCTTTCGTTACTAATTCAGGGAGTCCAGGTGCTTCAGTATCAGTGTTCCATCTCATTTCCCTTTTGGGTTGCTTTTCGTGATCTGGAAGTCTGGTTTTGAGATTCGTTTATTTGTCTCCTCATTTCATGGGGGGGGGGTGGTACTGGCACCCTGCAGGACTTGCTGCTCACCTCTTCGGTTCTGGGGGCAGTGGTATGGCAGCCTGGAAGGCTCCTCCTCAGTGCTGTGGGTGGCTCTGCTCCTTGGTGCTCTGGGCACACATTTTATCTCACTTGAGTTTTAATGCCTAGAGAATAACTGAAAGAACACTTACCACATTGTTAGTATGAGCTGGGATTGGGAAATTCTCCCAATTCTGGATTATTTACTGATGATGAGCATGTATGACTTTCATAATAAAAATACTAAATGTAAGAAAGAAAAAGGAAGAAAATTAGTCATTGAATGTACCAGATACTTGCCTGCCCACCTTCCTAATTTTCTTGTCAAGGAGCAAAGAGATTCAAAGGCAGAAAGTAGAATAGGTTCCTTTTTTAAGCCAACCAATACTATATTGACTGGGATAGTAAGCCACTGCAAAATAGACAGGCTCAGTTATGTACAACTAAGAGACTTTGCATCATGGTGAACTAAATTCCAGTCTAATTAGTCAATGAAAATAAAAAGAAGAGCTGAAAGGTGATCATTACTGTTTCAACCTCATATTTTGTGAAAGGTGGGATGACAGGGACAGAATTCTCCTTAGGGCTTCTCCAGAGAAGGGTTGGAATCAATTGACTGGGATGGAAGAAGACTTTGCAGGACTTGCTCACTACCACTTCCACTTCCACACTACCACTTCCACTTCCACCACCTGCAGACAAGTGCCATTAAACTTACTTAACAAGGAAGCCATTAAAGGGGAGGGGCTCCTGAAGAGGGAGGAAAGAGGAGGCCAGCAAGTCTGATAAGTTAAAGAGGCTACGTCAGAGGCAAAACCTCACTCCTCAAATGAACTGGAACAGATGCCAGGGGATAGATAGCTTTAGTCAACTCTGTTACCTTACCAAAAAGGCCCAAAGTAAAGGAGGCCTTGTGACTTTGTAAGTCATTGGAGAGGCACCAGATATAGAATTTCATGAGTTAATAAAACAGAAAAGAAATCTTTTGATAATAATACACAAACTTCAAAATTTTGCAAAAGGGGGCAGGGGCATGAGCAAACAATCAGCAATGGACTAATTGTTTTAGAACTAACATATTAAAGAGAACATGAGGTGAGGATGGTCTGAGTCAGAGGCAGTACAAGGTTCTATTTTCAGAAACCAACAGCCTTAGATATAAACCAAAAGTCAGGCAGAATGTACACATTCACCCTGAGACCAAGCACCCACATCAATCTCTCTGGCCACAACTGCACACAGAGATAAAAAATCACTGTCTTTCCATCTGAAGAACTAAGATAAATATTGCAAGACAGTACAGCTCTTCCATAAAGAAAACTTGTACCAACTGGCACCCTATCTCTGAGTGAAGATCTGTTTTCCATTCTCCATGTTCACCTGCAGCTTCCAGTGCCAAAGTTGTCCCCCACTCAGCAAGATTTCTTGTCATACTAAGCACCTCTGGGCATGTTTAGCTGCTTAGATCCCTTCCTATCTTAGGAGCTAGTTAGAAAAAGAGACAGAAATCAACTTAGGCTCTGCTTAATCTGACGGCAAATATTTTTTTGGTGTTTTCTTTTAAACTAGAATTTATTTCAACCCAAGCTATACATCTATATCAATCTAACCATGAAAATGTCAGACACTGTGCCAGGCATGGGCAGAAAGAGTCAAATAAGACATTTCAGAAACAGATGTGAGTGTGACACTGCCTTTACCATATGACCCTGAGCTCACTGTCTTATTCCACAAGTCTCAACTTTAAAGTGAAGCTGAAAATAAATATTATTTGGAGTTGTGTTGTGAACTAGAAATAAGGTACATATTGAGGGAAACTGAAGTAAAGTTTCAGAATTTTGAGGGATGGGTAGGAGTTAGTTAAACTAAGAAGATAGGTAGAGCATTTCTGGGTAAGAGCAATGTGTACTAAGGATGGAAGTGTGAAAAGCCATTACACATGGTTGTGGAAGAAGGTCTATATGGATGGAAGTAAACAATGGGCTTGGGGATCTGGATGGATGTGACACTAAAAGAAGGGCCCAGAGGATGAAGAGCCTTGTGTGTTAAATTAAGAAAGCTGAACGTGGGCCGGGGATTCAGCTCAGTGGTTTTGCCGCCTGCTGTGCAAGAGCAAGGACTCAAGTTCGATCTCCGCTACCCCCCAAAAAAAGAAAGAAAGAAAGCTGAACGTGAGCTTTAATGCTTATGAAAAACATAGAGGAATTTTAAGCAGAGGAGAAGTATGGTCAGATTTACAGCTCAAATCATTTGAAGAGAAGCCAAACCAGTGGCAAATGCTTAAGCTATCTGCTGACAATGTGAATTCTAGGGCTCATTTGAAGACCAATTTTCAAGCAACTGTGTCAGAAGAATCTACATTTAAACCAATGCCTCAGCATAAATCTTATTTGCAAATAAGTTGGAGAACAACTGAGATGCAGTGTAAGCTGATACATAAGAGTTTAAGCTCTGGACTCAGTTGTGTTTAAATCAAGACTCTGCTACTCCCTAGTTGCATGATCTTGGGAAAGTTAAGTCACCACTGTATGCTTCCATCTGACCTTTTGTAAACACAAATAACAGTGCCTATCTCTAAGAGTTGCCATGAGTACCACACTGTACATGGGCAGAACGGTGCTGGACAGAGTAAGCGCTCATCACTTTTGACCAATACGGACGGACTAGGGGAGTTGATGTGGGGAATGCTGTTTGGCTTCTGAGACACTCTCCAGGTAACCATCTCTACTGACTTTATGGACTTCTTAGGTTGGACTCTATGAGCAGGAATTAACCATCAGTTAAGTTACTTGGCAATGGACTCATAGGAACTGCTGGTTACCAAGATTATAACAAAAATCACATTTTTTAGCACTTGCTTGAGTATCAGGTTGATGATGGTGCCTCAGGCAGCTTATTTAATTATTCTAAGCCCCATAAAACAAAGTTACATACTGGGAACACTTAGGGTTTTTTCTTTTTACTTTCATCTATTTCTTAAAATATGAAATATCTGATGCCACAAAATGATACAGGCTACAAAAAATGAAAACAAAATATACACAGTGAAATCCCTATTCTAAAGCATTGCCAATGTCATGGGAAGTCCCTGGGCTCTGCTCCCTAATCTGAATGTCTTCCCTTCTCCACCAGAAGCAACCACCATCTGAATTGTGTTTATCATTTCCTTGCTTTATTCACATAGCCTGTATCATTATGAATCTTTAGGCAACTTATTGGACTTTTACCTTTTTGTACTTCATATAAATGATGCTGCAATATGTATCTGCCACTTACTTTTACACTTAATGTCACATTGATGCATGAGCCTATGGTTTATTTATTTCCCTGCTGTTATGTTATTCCACTGTACTATTATTATTCTGCTATACTTTATACTACTCCCATAAAAATGGGTTTATTTTCAGTTTTTTGTAGCTCTGATAGTTCTCATGATTTTCATTTTGCAAATGTCTCCTGTTCCCATTGTACAAGAGTTTCTGTAGAATATTGCATTAGTTTCCTATGCTGTCATAACAAATCACTAGATTTGGTTGTTTGTGGCTTAAAATGACACATTTATTATTTTATAGCTTTAGAGGTCAGAAGTCTGAAACTAATCTCACTGGGAAAAACTCAAGGTTTTTTTGGAGTTGCTAGGGAAAGATGCATTTTCTTGCTTTTTTCTATTTTCTCAATAATGCCCACATTCCTTGGCTCATGGCCTCCTTTCATTTTCAAAGCCACTGGTGGCTGATCCATCATTTCTTATGATGTCATCTTTCTGGTTCTAAGACTTCTCCCTTTCTTTTCTTCTTTGATACCCTTGTAATTTAGTAGGCCCACTGAGATAATCTAGGATAATCTCTCTCTCTCTCTCCCCCCACCTTCCTGCCTTCCCTCCCCTCTTTTGGGTACCAGGGATGGGACTCAGGACCTTGCACTTGTGAGGCAGGCACAGTGCCACTGAGCTAAATCCCCGGCCCCTCTTTCTTTTTCTTTTTACATTTGAAGAATTTCTATATTGGTCTTCCCCCTTATCTTGCCACAACTATCTGGCCTTTATGACAAAGACAGAGTGAACCCTAACAAAGTATTCATATTTTATGACAAAGACTATACAGCACATATGCAGTACATGAAATCTTTACAACAAATTCCAAAACAAACACTTAACAGGAGTATAAAGAAACATAGATTTCCTACTCTCTCTCAATTACTGGTAGCTACTTACATTTTAGCTCTTGTAATAAAATACCCTCCTCCCCAACATTCCCACTCATAGGAACCCCTGAATCAATTCTTGCTGTAAGGTACACATTCATGTTGAAGATGTGTTCCATTAACTATTACAGGTGCCAAAATCCCCACCATGACAGACTGGTTTATTGTAATATATGAATACTACCCAAGTTTTCTTATTTTTAATCAACTGATGAACTATCTTAATCCAATTGCACCTTTAATTTGCCTCTGCTATATAACCTAACATATTCTGAAGATTAAGGTAGAAGCATCTTTGGAAAGATTTTGACTTCCACAGGTGTGGAATTACTGAACAATAGGGTAAATGCATCTTTTCCTTTACTTGATAATGCCAGTTTTCCAAAGGAATCACATCAATTTACATTCACGTGAACAAAATAAAAGTTCTCATTGCCTCACATTTCACCAACACACTCTGCCCAGACTTCTAAAATTCTTCCGATCAAGTGAGTGAAAACAATATCTGAGGGTTTGAATTTTTATTTTCCAAATATTGACATGGATCATCCTAATGTGTTTACTAACTGTATAGGATTCCTTTTCTGTGTCATGTCTGTTTTTCTAATTGGTCGATGGCTTGTTTTGGTAATTTATATTGTATCAGTTAAGTTTGCTACAAATACATTCTACTAGTGTGTGATATGTTCTGAGGAACCAAAGTTTCTCATTTTACTGTATGCAAATTTCTTCAACATTTTCCTTTGTAAATTACATTTTTGTATCTTCTTGAGTAGGGTGACAAGTGTAGCCACCAGTCAAATGCAGTTAAGACATGTCCTTCTGAATGTTCCTCCTTCCCTTCTGGGTGATCTCACAGGCTCTGGGCAGTGCAGCTACAGACAGCTGTGCTTCTGTCCACTGAGTCCCCACAGGTGGAGGTGCACTCTCTTATCACCTATGCCGGATGTGGAACAAGAGAAATGTTTGCTATGTGAAGACACAGAAGTTTCAGAGTTAATTTGGTAATACAAAATAATTTAACTTATTTTGACCAACTGTTCTAATCAGTAAATAATTTTATTTGAGAATTACTATCTTTCAGTACATTTTTCTGTCTTCCCCTGCCATAAACTATTTATTTCCCTTGTTGCTTTTGCTACCTTGTGCATGCCATAGTGTTTCTCCTCTGCAATGCCTGTTTGCAGCTACTCTGCCTTGGAACCAGCCGATTATGGACTGAAACCTCTACAAACTATGAGCTAAATAAACCCTTTCCCCCCTACCCCCCCAAAAAATTTCTTACAACCTTTTGTCTTACATTTTTGTTTCAGCTACATAATTGCCAAACCTTTATTGATAATCTATATTTTCTCCTTAGCTAATTTTAATATATTCTCTTTGTCTTTGGCATTCTGAAGTTTTACTATATGTTTGGAGTTGTATGTGTGTGTGTGTGTGTGTGTGTGTGTGTTTCAATTTATCTCACTGGGGATTATCTGGGGCTTTGGGAGCCTGAGATTTCTATCATCAATTCTAAAAATGTCATATTCATTTTCTCCCCTCATTTCCTCTTGAAATTCTAGTTAGAATCATACTGAACTTTCTTAACTTATCTTTCCTTCATGACACTTAACTTCTCTGTCATATTTTCCAGTACTTACTACCCTGTCCTACATTCTGTAACAGATATTCCAATCTATGCCACTTCCCAGTTCTTTCTTCAGGTGTGGTACTTTCTACTGTTAATTTTTCCATTCAGTTTTTAATTTAATTTAAACTTTTAATCTTTTGTAATTTAAAATTTTTTAAATTTTAATTGTAATATAACATTTGTACTTATTTATGAGATACAGTACCATAAGTTGATACACGACACAATGGGAAACACAGAAGAAATGGACAGATTCCTAGATACATATGAATTACCAAAGTTGAACAAAGAAGACCTAAAAATTCTAAACAACTCAATATCAATCAATAAAATTGAAAACGTAATTTAATAACTTAACCACTAAGAAAAGCCTGGCTCCTGATGGCTTCATTGCTGAATTCTACAAGAATTCTGTGTTTTCCATCTTAGTGGCGTATAGGTTCTGGAAGTAGGTATTGATGATCCTCTGGATTTCTGCTGGGTCTCCTGTAATTTCATCCTTTTCATTTCTAATTACATGGATTTAGGCCTTTTCTTTCCTTTTTCTGATAAGGTTGGCTAAGAGTTTGTCAATTTTGTTGATTCTTTCGAAGAACCAACTCTTGGCTTCATTAATTTTTTGTATGGTTCTCTTAGTCTCCATTGCATTGATTTCTGCTCTGATCTTTATAATTTCCTTCCATGTTTGAGGTTTTGGGTTGTCCTGATCTTCTTTTTCTAGAACCTTGAGGTTCATCATCAGGTTGTTTAATTGGACTCACTCCGTTTTCCTAAGATGTGCATTCATGCTATGAATTTCCCTCATAAGATTGCTTTCATTGTGTCCCATTGATTCCAATATGTTGCATTGTCATTGTCATTTAATTGAAGGAACTGTCTGATTTCTTCTTTAATTTCCTCTGTGACCCATTGGTTATTTAGAAGTGTATTGTTCAATTTCCATGTGTTTATGAAATTCTTGCAATTTTTTTTGTTATGGGTCTCCAATTTCATCACACTATGGTCTGATAATATACAGAGGATAACTCCAATTCCTTTGCATTTACTTAAACATGTTCTATGAGCGAGTATGTGGTCTATTTTGGAGAATGACCTGTGTGCAGCTGAAAAGAATGTGTATTCTGATTTTGTGGGGGTGGAACACTCTGTAAACATCTGTTAAGTTCATTTGTTCAAGAGTTCAATTGAGTTTTAGTATTTTATTACTGATTTTTTGTCTAGTTTATCTATTTGTGACAGTGGGGTATTGACGTCCCCTAGTACAATTGTATTTGTGCATATATGACTTTTCATGTCTGTTAGTATTTGTTTTATATAGTTTGGCGCACCAGTGTTTGGTGCATAGATATTTATGATTGTCATCTCTACCTGTCATATTGTTCCCTTTAGAAGGATGTAGTGTCCTTCTTTGTCTCTCTTAATTAGTGTTGGTTTGAAATCCACTTTATCTGCAAAGAGGATAGCGACTCCTGTCTTTTTTCAGGTTCTGTCACATGGAGTATTGTTTTCCACCCTTTAACTTTCAGCCTGCGAGTTTCTTTTTGAACTAAGTGTGTTTCTTGTATGCAGCATATTGTTGGATTTTGCTTCTTGACCCATTCTGCCAGTCTATTTCTTTTTACTGGTGAGTTGAGACCATTAACATTGATGGTTATAAATGATACATAATGACTTATCATTGTATTGAATTTTTCTTTTTGTTGGATTCTCCCCCTTTGCTTCTAATTTCTTGTTGTCCCCAGTGGATTCATTCTGCTATGCTTCCTGTGGTTGTGATCCTCATTGTGTTTCCCTATGATTTTGTCTAAAATTTTTTGGAGTGCTGGTTTGGTATTGATGAAGTTCCTAAGGTGGTCCTTGTCATGAAAGTATCTTATTTCTCCATCAATTTTGAAAGATAGTTTTGCAGGGTACATCAATCTGGGTTGGAGGCTGTTTTCCTTTAGGGCTTGCAAGACTTCGCTTTAAGCTCTTCTTGCCTTAATGGTTTGGGCTGAGAAGTCTGCTGTGATTCTGATGGATTTTACTTTGTATGTGATTTGTTTCTTTTCTCTAACTGCTTGTAAAACTTTGTTTTTCTGCTGGGTTTCTGGAATCTTAAGAATTGTATGCCTCCCTTCTCTGTATGTCAAGTTCTTTTCCCCTGCTTGGGAACTTTTCTTCCATCACTTCTGTGAATAGTTTTTTTTATGTCGTCTGCACTCTCTCCTGTTTCTTCATTGACTCTGATCAGTCTTATGATATTCTTTGCATCATCTAGTGGCTGCTGGATTGATTTCTCATGGCCCCTTACAATTTTAATGCAATTTTTCTTTTCCTGGTCACTAATTGCAATCTTATCTTGTATATTTGAAATTCTGTCCTCACATTGGCTCATTCCGCTGCACAGACTTTCAATGGAGATTTTAATCTCCTGGAAATCTGTTTGCATCTGTTTTATGGATTCCATTTGTTTCCTATGTTGGGACTCCATCATGTTCCTCAGCTCCTCTATTTTTTATGTGTGTCCTCTCTAGATTCATTAATAATGTCTTGCACTATGGGTACAATATCTGCTGTTATGTGAGAAATTATTTCTGATTTCATTTTTTTCCAGATCCCCTTTTGTTGCTTTTGTTCAGGGAGTCCAGGTGGTTGAGTATCAGAGTCTTCCAACTCATTTCCCCTTGGGGTTGCTGTAGGTGATCTGGAAGTCTGGTTCTGAAGCTTGTTTATGTGTCTTCTCCTTTCAACAGGGGGCAGGGGAGTATTCCTGGTGCCCACTTGGCTTACCTCCTCTGTGCTGGAAGTGTTTACAGGTTGGCCTGGAAGCCTCCTACTCTGCACTGGGAACTGCGGCATGTTGACCCCGAAGCCTCCTCTGGGCTGGGAGTGGTGGTAGGCCAGCCTGGCAGTCTCCTATTCTGCACTGAGAACTGTTGCACACTGACCCAGAAGCCTCCTCTGTGCTGGGAGTGGTCTCAATATCTTGATCCTATGTGAGAGAGCCTGTTGCTAATGATTCACCCAAGCCCTGACCCACTGAAAGTGGAAAATGATAAATGAGTGTTGTTTTAAACTGCTACCTTTCAGGGTGCATAATTTGTTGCACAGCAATAAACAACTAATCACAACAATGTTCTGCTTGACCAAATCCTAGCCAAGATCCTTTGTGTCTTCAACTTTAGCCTATAAATATTTCAACAAACAGTAGTATAGTTCCTAGAAACTCAAGGCCACATCCCTTGTTTAACTCTAGCACCTGTTAAAGTGCCTCCTTGATACTGTTCAAGGCTTCCAAAAGACCTGACTATCCTCTCTCAGAGCATTTACTAAAAAGGGCTTGCAATTTCTAATCATTCTTCCTATAACTCAGAAGTGTCTTTTGAAAGAACCTGAAAGTTGTCCTTTGGAAATATAATCACTAAGAAGAATGGGGCCTCTGTCTCTTAGCCTCTGTAGGAGGAAAAAATCCAGCTGTCAGACACAACAGGTCTTATAACTTTATGCTGATGAACCTTCTGTAGTTCTTCAGTTCCCTGACTCTACTGAGCTCCCACTTGTCCTTTTCCCTACTCCCATTTTAGCCAGGTAATCTCTATACAACTTGATACTGGGTTCAATTCATGCTGGACTCAGTTCCCTATTGTAATAGTTATTCCTGATTAAAATTCATTTTTCACTACTTTAGTAAAACCCAGCTTTGTTGATCTTTGACACTAATGCAGAGGAAGATAAAATACAAACAAAACAGAGAGAAAACATACATCATAAAGCAAAAAAGAAAACAAAGAAACTATAAGGATTCAAAAAATATAAATAGCCATGACAAAGATGAAACTTACCTAATTAAAATAGTTTCCAAAGGAATAGGATAAAGTATTTAAAAAGCATTAAATGAGACAGTCAATTTAATAATGGCTAAGGATACAATTCACAACAAAGTTATCACTAGTATGAATTTTAATGTACAAAATAGTATAGCAATAAAATCCATAAATCAAAACTTCAAATGAGAGAAAAAATTAAGAAAAATCTTAGGAGAATTTGATAAATCTCTCTGAGTCTTAAAAAATTCAAGAAGAGAAAAAATACAGAGAAATAACTTGATAAATTACCATAATGTAGCCTAATAGATGCTCAATAAATTTTACTTAAAAACCACAGAGCCTATAAAGAAGAAAAACAATATTTTAGATATCCATGTAACATTTCAAAAAGAAACCATACGCACATGATAAAAATTCAGATAATATATACCATTTAGAAAATATTATTTTAGGAATGGCTTTATTGGTAATTGATGATTTCAATTTTTGCCACACACTTTGTTTTCATAAGAAATAACATTTTAAAAGTATTCTACTCCCTTATCTCTTTAGAATTTTTCTAAATATTCCTGAATCATTCCATTCTGCCACTGTTTTTTTTTCCCTTTCTTATAGGAAGAACTGTACTATTTTCCTTCCAAGGGTAAATAATTCAGTTCCTTCTTCTCTAGGATGTTATTTCAGCCATTGTCCCCTATTTTGAGTTTTCACATTTCTGCTCCTAAAGACTTCTTTACATTGCTTTACAAACAAAGTTGTCTCCTGTTCCCAACCCTAGAGAAGCCCATCACATGAAGGGCCAATTTTCTTCTTAGCTGTCTTCACCAAAGTTCTCAAAACTCTTCCATTTGCACAATCATGCCTGAGTCAACATTCTACATACTGTACACCTACTGAATCAGACTGGTTTATAGACCTTTATGCTCAGAGTAATTATCACTTTGCCCCAATTCCCAACTCCATTAAAAGGGCTAAGTCCAATCAGAAAGATCAAGGCAGGGAAGAGGATGCTACAGTCCAAACAAGTCTGCCCACCTCCTGGCAGAAACTGAAAAAGCAATGCCCCTTGGACTGAGCCTTCCCCTCCCCAGGCCTTCAACATTCCAATATGGACCATGAATCGCATTTGGTGAGAAATAGGCAGATTTGGAAAGACAAATACCATATTACATATTCTCCCTAATAGCTAATATTATCTAATATATCTAATATCTAAAAAAAGATGATGAGAAAATAGAAAAGAAACTATTATTAGAAAAAGAAGAAGGGAATAAGGGAGAGGAGGTGTAAGGGAGAGTAGTACATTATACTCACTAAAAATAAAAAAAAAAAGGTGAAAATAGGTATGAAGATGAGGCGAGGAGTGCAGTGAGGGGTGAGCAGATTAAAGTCTGTTATATGCCTGTATGAATCTGTCCAGATGAAACCATTCATTTGTTTAACCAATACGCACTAACGAAAAACAGATGTGAAGAAAAGAATCTGCTTGATTCTTAGACCTCTTCATCTCTATCCATAGAGTCAAAGAGCCAGAACATTCATCCATAATCCTCACACTCACAGCTCTCCCATCATCTTATTTCTTGACTCTTCTTGGGCTGATTTCCTTATCCCCTTTATCTGTGTTCATGTCAGTCACCAAAACAGTCCCGGACTTCCAGGTCCTTCCCGGTGTTTCATTCCCACAAGGTCCTACACCTTCTTTCCTCTGTCTTCTACTCTTCTCTAACCCCTGAAATTCTTCCTCTGTGTGCTCAGAAATTCTTGGTTTTTCTTTCACATCTAATCCATCACTCTTTTTTCTTTTTAGATAAATTTTTCTGCCCTTGATTTTCCATTGCTTTTTTACTATGTTTTTCATCTCCAGAAGAATCATAGTCTTTTTTATTTGGGAATCTTTTTTTGGTTGTTCTGGTTGCCTCAATTTTACTCATGTTTTTTATCTCTTTACCTAATTCTGAGTCATAATTAGAAGACTCAGACTGGTTTTGGCGTTTCTTTTTGGAAATTATAGAGCTTTTAGCTGATTTTCCCTCTTTAATATCAAAATCTGAGCCAGAAGTAGAACTTTTTCATTTCCTTTTTCCTTTATCATCTTTCCCTGGTTGAGTCTCCATCAAAACATAACAGGAAGTATTAAGTAAAAAACTACAGCTAAAGTAACAAAAGAATTGTATGTCAAAATCCATCACTTATAATTGTTACCACTGTTTCAAGACACTATTATCTCTTGCCAGGGTCACTGAAATAGTTTCTTACTTAGCTTCCACCATTGTTGCTTATACTCTGTCCCTGATAGAGTAGCCACAATAATCTAAAAATGTGCCCGACTGTGCCACTTGACCCCTCAAAACTCTCAGCAGTGGCCCATTTTATTCAGAGTGAAAGTTAAAGTCCTTATAATGACTAAAAACCATACATCTGTTGTCCACGACCCCAAAGGTTATCTTCAGTCCTCCTCCTGTCACTTCTTACCCTTTCTAATCCAGCCACAATGGTAACCTTGCTGTTCCTTCTCTCAGAAATCCACAAGGCCAGTATTATCAGGCTGACAAGAAGGGTAGGGAGGAATGGGAAAAGGTTGGCCACTGGGCGTTAAGTTCCCATTAGATAGGAGAAATAAGTGCTTGTGAGTGGGGTCAGATATTTGTGTCCGTCTGTAGATTCACCAAGAAAAGGACAGCCACAAAATGAACTAATTCAAATTCCATGAGTGATAACTGCATTCCAGGAAAATTCATTATGTCTTAAGCTGTGTGAAAAACACTCTATATTTATATGTAAAATAGAGTCTAGGTTCGGGTAATTATAAATAGGGTTATCACCTACATCAGTGAGCAGTGAGGCAGTTGAGACACCCAGATTCTTTGTGCAGGATTTTCTCAGGCAATGCAAGATGTCTAGCATCTTTGGCCCCACCAACTGTATTCCAATATGCTCCTTCCCAGTCACTAGGAAAACCAAAAACACTCTGGTAGATTTCCAAAACAACCCAGACAGGCAGTGTTACACCAACAGCCTCTGACCTCTACAACCAGTGCCTCTTTTCTGTGGTCACTGGCTATCTCTGCAGTCCTATTGCCAGCTCCTTCTCAGACCTCCCTTTTTCCTTAGCTTTCTGCTACTGCATTCCTGCAGGTCTCTCTGGCTATCTTCACTAGTCTTGTTTGGCATCAGCTGCCCACCTGCCAGGGCCCTTCACTTTTTCTCTACATGCACTTCAACTACCTCTACTAAATAAATGGTACTCAAAATTCCATTTCTACATGTAATATCCAAATCCATATTTCCATCTGTTATTTGGTTATTTGTACTCCAAGTTATAACATGTCCAGAATCAAACTAGTCCTCTTCCACCATTAGCTGGACCTATTTGTGTGAATGGCAGCAGCATCCATTTACTCAGTGGATAACTGACAACCATCTTTACTCCCTGTTCCTCATTCGCCTCCTCCATTTGGTTGCAGTGCCCTATTTTGCCTCCAAAGCGCCCATAGCTCCTTCCTGTCTATGAAGGTAATTCAAGATATCATTACCTGTAGTTTAGAGTAGTGTCAGAATTTCCTAACTGGTATTTCCACTCCAATTTATCTTTTGATATTTCCACAAAAGGTGTTTCTGTAGATAATAACAGAGAGCATTAACTGAGTGACTATGATATGCCAGGCATTACTCTTAAGTGCTTCCTGTCTCTTTTAATCTGCACAACCACATCATGAAATAAGAACTATTATTGCTTAAATTTTAAAGATGAGGCAAAAGAGATTTGGAGAGGTTAAATAATTTACTAAAGTCACAGAACCTACTCAGAAGTGACAACACCCAAATTCCACGTTTTTCTGGCTTCTAAACTCCCTGTTTGGCTTTCTTTTGGATGCAACTTTGTTTGTTTGATTAATTTCGAATACAGAGGATTGCACTGAGTCTTGCACATACTAGGCAAGGGCTGAGGTACAATCCCATCCCTTTTAAAATTTATTTTATTTTGAGACAGAGTCTCACTAAATTGGCCCAGCTGGCCTTGAACTTAGGATCTTCCTGCTTAGCCACAGGAATAGCTGGGATTGCAGGCGTCCCCCACCACACCCAGCTGACACAACTTTTGCATTTTTCCTCCACCCTGCTTACCCTCTTCTGCTGAGTCTGTTATAATCCTGCTACCTCCTCCTTCCCCCAGTATTCTTCCAATCCATAGGCACTTACTTTAGTTTTATTTCCTTATATACCAAGGATGTATTTATTCGTCAGCTATTTCAAGACAGTCCGGCACGGCAGGCCCCTCTTCTTTCACTATGTCCACCTCCTCTGTCCTCAGTCCATTGTCCCCTCTTCTCAGCTGCTGAGAGAAGAGCTGGAGAAGGGAATGAATAGTTCAGGGTGACTCCAGCCTGCACAGGGGGAGACACAGAAACCTCTCTGCATCTTTAGCTTTTCTCTTCCTAAATCCCAATGTTGTTTTATGGGTCTAATATAGCAAATCATAAGGGATTTTTAAAAAATGCTTTATAGTAAGTGTTGTAAAACATTCTAGGGCTTCAACTGAGGTACTTTGTAGCCACAGAATAGTGTTCCAAGCAGAGGCTGCCACAGGTTTGTGTTCAGGGTGCAGGGGGAGTGGAACCCTACAAAATATGAACTTATCCCCCAAATCCCAGCTTAAAACTTCAGCAAGGGTTATCAGTAGCGAGCAAGATGGTACAAACCTGAAGACATTCACTTTAAAAACATCTCTCCAGGCACCGAAGTTTAAGTTTTTGCAAACGTCCTACTTCCCTCCCTCCATCCCACATAGCCTACTCCGGGCTCGCGCCCTCCCTGCCCCGCCCCCGCCCCCGCTGACTACCACTCCCGGCGTGCCCCGCGCACTGGCGGGGCCCTGAGCTGGGGCGGGGGGCGCTGTGCGGGGCAAACCTCGCGGGAGGGAAACGGCGCTCTTTCCCCTCTAAAGGATGCGGAAACCCGGGACTACACGGTTGAAAAACGAAACAAAACAAGCCGCCCTGCGCTGCCTCGTGTGGCTGATCCCCGTGCTGCTGCAGCCTGTTGCACCCACGGGGCTGGACGTTACCTCAAGTGGAACTGGGACAGCAGAGTGTCCGGGCCAGGACAGACCCGGAGCAGGCACTGCGAACGCCACACCCCACGCTCCCCAGCCATAGACAGGAGCCCCCACAGGGACCCGCAGAACCCCAGACCGAGTCATAGCCGCAAACTTCGCCCCTATCTGTGGTGGTGCCACGATGGATGAGTTGGCTGGCTCGTGGCCGGCGCTGCTGGACCAAGAGGCTGCCAGGTCCCCTGTCCTGCGCCCACAGCCTACTGCCCCCTCTCCAGGCGACTCGTCCCTGTCCCTGGAGACACCCTTGGGCCCTGGAGCCCGCCCTGCGCTGGGGAGACAGGGGCTGGACGCTGTGGGCTGAGGACGGGGCGGGAGGGTCCTCTGGAACAGCTCTGGCTTTGCCCGAGAGTCTGCACTGCCTGAGAATAAGTGTTGATCAGTAAAGAAGCCAATCAACCAGGCACCAGTCTCCCCCCTCGCCCCCCCCGCCATCCAGGTGCACGTCCAACTGGGCCTGGAATTGTGCTCCACAGTCCTGACGCCAGGATCATTTCCAGACTTACTTGAGCAAATCCTACAGTGTGTTGTATCCAAAAGTCTTCTTTATTTGTCTGTCTGTTCCTCTCTCTCTCTCTCTCTCTCTCTCTCTCTCTCTCTCTCTCTCTCTCTCTCACACACACACACACACACACACACACACACGGCACACTATACATTCTATAACCACACATACTACACATACCATACATACACTACATGCATACAACACAGGCATTCACTACAGCACATACACATTCTTATCGTTGGAAAGTTAGTGACAGTTTGTTGCAGGGTGTGAGGACAGAATGAGTGAGTACTAGTGTATGTGTTTATATTCACAAATGTCAGTTTATTACCAAACTTAAAAACTAGCTGGTAAGTGAAACTTCCCATTGACATAGTTTAGAATGCCTTTGTAGCTCACTATACAATGGGACTGATTTCCAACAAGCTTTCTGAAACCTTACATGTATTTAACAAGCAAACTCTTGATCACAGCCGCAACACAGAAGAGGCCCTTTTCTATGTGTGGGAAGAAGGGCTTGGAAAAAACTTCATAGAATCCTTCCCCTTTGAGTGTATCTAAGGAAGATAGATACTACATTTTCTTTGGAATTTAGGATAGTGATAAAAGACTAAAATTGAGGGTTGATACAGTAGCTTCCTATTTATGTGTGACTCACATAGTATCAGGTGCTCATAAATTGTTTTGGTTGCATTTGTTGAATTACACTTTTTTATGCAACTGGGATAATTACATTTTCTTTGTCTCTTTCCCTTCAGGGGTGGTAAGCCTACCTCTTGTTGTCAAGATAACTTCCTCCCCATTCCCCTGCCCACAGGATTCACAATCCAGTTCCCTTCCATTTGGATTTAGCTGGAGAGTAGTTCAGGAGTTTCATGTCCCAAAACACGGAATCTGTTGATGAAAGAGCTCTTTGTCTCCTCAAAGTTCATCATTTTGATCAGCAGCAGAAACATATCCACATGCCTGATGGGGGGGGCGGGGAGAAAGAAATAAGGACTCAAGAATATTTGACCTTGTAGAATTGGCCCCTAAATTCAAATTGTTTACTTTTGCAAGGGTACAATGGCAAAAACAGGTAGAGAGAACACTTGAAATATTTCTCAGCAATAGTCTCTCAGGATATTGAAAATGTCTAATAACATTCCTGTAATAAGTAATGGAAAAATTTTGAGTTTAGAATTCACATTCCAAATTTAAGTCATAGTTGCTAATCTGCAAGTGCTGTTAAAGACTTCCAAAAAAAAAAAATGCTAGGCCACTTTCTTCTCAATTCTACCTGAAATCTACACAAAGCAGGTAACTTTCCAGGTTCCTTTTGGGGGAAAGGTATTCTGTTCCCTGTCTTGAGTGGTTTTGTGGATACTTTGAACTAAATATGCCCAAATGTTGACCAGTGCTTATTTTGGTGAAGAGGCAACCATGTATGTTTTCTGTGCATGTGCGAAATATTTATAGAGTAAGAACGTTCCTCTTCAGCCAAGCCACGGAACTGTGAGATTGCCCAGGGTAATTTAATCATAAGGTCTCACGCAGCCTTTCCATTCCATCTCCCAATTTCCTGTTTTGGGATTTAAAATAGTGGTAAGAGACTATAAATTTGAGGTTGATACAGTATCTTCCTATTTATGTGTGACTCACATAGTGTCATAAATTATTTTGGTTGGATTTGTTGAATTATGCTTTTCTATGCCACTAGGGTAAACAATTAAAATTAAACCTTGCAGAACTATTTGTTTTCCTTCTGTAGAATAAGATTTTGGTTTAATTTGAATTTTTGTTGGCTTCATTGGGTAGGATAAATGCCAAAATAAAAGACTGAGTGTTTTCAGGAGATCTGGTCATCTATTTTACATCCTTTCTGAAATATGCTACTTCCTGCCTAATGAAGTAAAGGGATTTGCTGCTGGGCAGGGCTTTCCTTATTCTCACAAAGAGGTTACTTAAAAGCCAGCTCTGGGAACTTTGTCCCCAACTCTTTATTAGGAAAAAAAAAGTAACAGCACTGCAGCTCTTGGGTGTTCACTGAACGTATCCCCTAAGCCCTGGCTTCTCTCTTTTCTGCAAGGGACAAGAAGAAATAGTTTAAAACCTGACATTTATGCTCAGAACAATAGTAGAGGCATATGCAACAACAATGGAGGGGAGGGAGAAAATAAGAGCCTATTAAGACAGCTTGGATTTGTTTCATCCAAGACAGGTACAGGGAGAATTTTGCAGTTTCTGGACTCATGATTCATTCACTTCCACTAATTGTGCTGAAGGTAGTTAGCCAAAGTGAACAGGCACACTGTAGCTTTAAAAAGGCAGCCATGAACCAGAAGGCAGTTGGTGCAGCTTGTGTGTGATTCCTAACGTCATGTTGGCTGAGAGCCAGCCTGGTTTTATTTCACTGTGTCAAATTGTACCTCCTTATTGAATTCCTTTGCCAGCCTACTTTATGAAAGAAAACATTGGGGTTTCTTTGGCTGTTCTTGATAAGCCTATAAAAATTGATATGTTTTAGTTGCTTATAGGTAGGTTTTCTTTTTACTTTTCCACCAAAACCAGAAAATACTAGTAATAATAATAAGACAATGTAGTGTGATGTTGCAGAGTATCATTGTGAGTGTTTTGTTTTGTTTTGTTTGTGAGACGCTTTAGAAAATGGTGAATGTGTAACAGTTTCCAACTGAAGTGAAATCATTCTTTAAGCTGGAGCAGCAGCACTATCTTCCTGTCTACTCTGTAGCGGTGTGTGGATGTATGCTAATAATCTATATGTATATTAAATGTTGGATTTCTCTAGCAATAATCTAAGTGGCTTAGCAACTGGAAGTTTGTGTGTGTGTGTGTGTGTGTGTGGATATGTGTGTTTCAGGAGTGAAGATTATCCCACACTTACAGTGTTATTTGTTAATCATCTACTTCTCTAACAGTGATAAAATCTTGTGAATTATACTAAATGATGCACTTGCCATGTCAGAGTGATCCCAGGAGAAGGAGTGCCGAAGTATAAAGTGATTTGAGAGGAAATGTATTTAATTTATGACTTCAGCTGAATAAGAGCAAATACGTTTGGGGACTAGTTTTTTTTTCTTTTCTTTTCTTTCTTAAAGCAGTTTTGTTCATAGCTTTTTCATCTTGCTAATTGCATATTAATTGTAGAGGGGTTTTATTTTTTCACAATCCTCATCCTTCAAACATAAAGAGTGATAAATGCTACTATATATATATATCCTTAAATGTTTTGATATTTTTACATAAATCTGATAAGCTACTTACCCTCTCTTACACACACACACACACACACACACACACACACACACACGGAACCACCTTTCTGTGCTAACTGGTATCTAGCATTTTTTGTAAGCTTTTTGCTTTACCACAGCCTGGTCACCTTCCAGACTGGTTTTTTGAAGCTTTGACTGAGGATATGTCAGGTAGGGGAATACTTGCTGACAAAAGCTTTACGTGCCCTTCTGCATTACAATGAAAAAAATCTAGGAGCAGAGTAGACTAAAAGGAAAAAAAATAAAAAGCAAATAAAAGAAAAAAATCACAATCCATGATGGGAGGAAGTAGGAAAAGGGGATTGTTTGTCTCCTACTTTGACTCATTTCTGAGTTGCAGTGTCTTAAGTGAGAGCCTGGCACCCGGAGGAGGCTGTGCCAGGTCGCACAGCACTTGTTTTGAACAAGGCGGATTCAGTTTCATTTGCAAATGCTCACTGTCGGGGCGGGGAGTGCCGGGACAGATGAGATGAAAGCACCCCGACCCCGATCCGTCTCCATCTCCTCCAGTTCTGTAGGTTTAATCACATCTCCCCCATAGATGAGGCGACTGGAGATTTAAACAAACATACCGTGAACTGGTGTGAAGCTGTGAATGGAACCTTCATGTTTCCGATTCAGAATATATATTCTTCTCTCACTTTCTAAGAATTAAACACAAGCTTTTCTCCCTTATTGATTAGTTGCTGAAGTAAAGGAACCCTGCAGCCTTCCCATGCTATCTGTTGACATGGAAAACAAGGAAAATGGCTCTGTCGGTGTAAAAAAGTAAGTGAAGCTGGCTTCTGAGTTCTGCACACAACAGAGGGACTTGGTTTCTATTCTTATACTTCTTGCCTATCTACCACAGTGCACAGTTTGGGGATTGTCTTGGTTCGTCTACCCTGGCCACCAGCCTCCTTCCTCCCCTCCCAACTCCAGTTGCCTTTTTCTGTGTTCCATTTCTGAAACAGACACGACTCGGACATGAAATGTGCGTAGAAAGGGTAGCATGTCTCTGGCCGTGAACCCAGGAGGACTGAGGATTGCAGTTCTGCACTGTCTATCCTGTAACAAAAACCCCAAACTGACACATTTCTGCCTCCCACGTCCATAGGCTACTAAGGTAGGGGCAGAAGTTTGAATTTATTTTTCTGGTGTTAGCCTTTTTTTTTTAGTTTGTTAGTTAAAATCACCTCCAACTCTCAAACCTGAAAAGGGAAAAACTTAAGTCAAAATGTGAAGTTTAACAAATTCTGCGCTGATTTTTTTGAACTGCGCCTTGAAAATGAAATTTTCAGTGCGTACCACAGTGTTCTACTTTAATGTCTGTTCCTTCATTTGAAACTTCTGATTTTATTTGTTGTGTAAGGGTAATATGCATGATTCTTTTAAAAAGGAAAATTTACTTGCATATTTTAGCGTTATATTCTGAAACAACAAAAAGCTAACTCAGAAGATATCTGTAAGTATGTGAAAAATATATTAAAGTTAAAACCACTTTGATTACAAAGAAGAAAGGAAGTTCCAAGAGAGTGTTATTTATTTTATTTCTTTCTGTGTCATTTAGCACCTAAAATCGCTGTCAAACTTTAGCATTAGAGGAAACTGATTGAACATTACCCAAAGAAGTCATGATGTCTAAGTGGAATATAGTATAGTGTATGATATGTTTATGAACAGAATTTATGTTTTGCTTCAGAGCAAAATTATTTTAAAATTAACTTAATAAAATCTGTTTTTTAAAATTCTTGGGTAATTTATATATCACTGTCATACTACCATGTACTCCCATTCTTAAAAGTTTAGCATAGGTAGATGTAAGAAGGATGAAAGAAATGGCTACTTCTTTATGTAAGAGATAGAGAAGTGCTGCCCACAGTACTAATGGCAATCATGGAAATATCCTGGATTGGTCCTAGCCAAAATGGTAGCCACTAGCTATATATGGCTATTAAGAACTTGAAATGTGACTAGTGTAACTGATGAACTGAGCTTTTAAATTTTCTTAATCAATTTAAAAATTAACTTTTATATATATATATGTATAATGTACATATAACGAATGACAAGGGTTTAAAATATAAAATTTGGTAAGTCATGACATTTGTGTACACCCTTGAGACCACTGTCATAATAAATGAACATACCCTTCCCCCCAGTTTTCTCATGATCTCTCTCCCCTGTAATCTCCCTCTCCTGTCTTTTCCTCCCACCATGTCCCCAGGGAACCATTGGTATGTTTGCTCTCTGTCACTATAAATTAGTTTGTATTTTCTAGAATTTAGTATAAATGAATTATTCTATACACACAAACATATATATAGTTTAGTGTCTCCTTGGGCATATTATGACTTAGTTCCTTGCTTTCATAACTGAGTAATATTCCATTATCTGGTTATACAACAATTTGTTATTTGTTTATCCTACATGATGATAGACATTTGGATTGCTTACATGTTTTTAGGTATTACAAACAAAGCTGCTTTGATCTCTCATGCACAGATCTCTGTGTGAAAATATGCTTTCATTTCTCTGCCATAAATATTTAGGATTCAAATTGGATGAGCTACATGGTAGGTGTTTAACTTTTAAACAAACTGTTCTCCAAACAAGTTGTCCCATAACATTCCACTATAGTATGTAAGTATTCCAGTCGTTCCCCATCCTCACAAACTTATGTTCAATTTTTTTTGTTTCAGCCATTGTATTTCGTGTAAGATTCATTTTTGTTTCCCTGGTAACTGAAGATGTTCATCATCTTTTTGTATGCTTATTTTATATCTATCTTCCTAGGTAGCATATTATTCAAATTTCTTGCCCTTATTTTTATTGGGTTCATTTTATCATATTTGTTACATAGTTTGTATAATTGTGAATATAGATTCTTTATCATATATATTTTGAAAATAGTTTGTTCCAGTATATGGCTTATCCTTTTACTGATTTTGAAATTACAAAAAGTTAGGTTTGAGGAAGTCCCATTTATCCATTTTTCTTTATGGCTAGTGCTTCTGCTGCTATATTTAAGAAATCTTTGCCTAAATAGGGACTCAAGGATTCTCTCTTATATTTTCTTCCTGAAATTTCTTGGTGTTAAGTTTTAGGATTTAAGATTATGATTTTTGAGTTAATTTTTATGTGTAGTGTGAGATAAAGATTGAAGTGTTTTTGTTGGCAGTAGTGGTAGTGATGTTGGGTTGTTTGGTTTTGTTTGTTTTGTTTTTTGCCTATGAATATCCAAATTTGTCAGCCCCATTCATTTAAATGCTTCTGCATTGTTGTTGAAAGGTAGTTGTCCATATAGTGCAGATCTGCTTCTGGGCTCTTTATTCTGTTCCACTGATCTTTTTGCACATTTTTATGCCAATGCAAAATTGTTTTGATAACTGTAGCTTTGATAACTACAGCCTGAAGTCAGGTAGTGTTAGCCATCCAACTTTGTTGTTCTTATTCAAGATTGTTTTGGCTCTTTCTATTTCAACACAAAATTTTAGAATCTGCTTGTCAGTTTCCAGCAAAAATCAAACAAAACAACAACCACAACCCCCCGCCTCCCAGCATTTCAATTAGCATTGGCGTAGATCAGTTTGGGAAGAATCGACATCTTAAGAATACCATGTCTTCCAACAAATGAACATAGCATATTTTTCCATTTATTTGGGTCTTCTTCAATTTCTCTCAGCATTGTTGTATAGTTTTCCGTGTGCAGGACTTACACATTTTGTCAGGTGCATCCTTATATATTTCATGTTCTTTGCTGTTGCAAGTGATACTGCTTTTTAAATCTGAATTTCTAAGAGTTTGTTGATGGTATAGGGAAATACAATTTATTTTTGCATATTAATCTTTATTCTACAATCTTACTAAAATTTATTATTTCTAGTAGCTTGTCAATTCTATACGAGTTTTTAACATAGATAATTATGTCTTGTCACTAAAGATAATTTTATTTCTGTCTTCACAATCTGGAAGCCATTTCTCTCTCTTTTTTTCTTTCTTTCTTTCTTCCTTTCTTCCTCTTTCTCTGTTTCCTCCCTATTGCACTAAGGAGAACCTCCAGTAAAAAGTTGAAAAAAAAGGTGTCATCCTTTTTGTGTTCCTCGTCTTAGACTTTTCAATTTTTTTTCTCCCATATTTAGAAGTCTTTTTTTTCTAAGATTTTTTCTAAATTGTTTATATTTTAAGCCATTTGATTGTGAGAGCTGGTGTAATTTTTCTTCATGTTTCTTATGTTTGGGGTTTGTTCTAGTTCTTAGATCAAGTTTGGAAATTTTGCAACCATTGTTTTTCAATATCTTTCTTTTTTCCTTTTAGATAATATATTTGAGCACTTTGTATTATTCCATTACTCACTGATGTTCTGATCAATTTTTCAGTCTTTTTTCTGTTTCACTTTGAATGGATTCTATCACTTTGCATTTAAATATACTGTTGTTTTAAAATTATAATTTTCTATTAATCCTACCCCATATACTTTCCACTTCAGACAATATAGTTATCTCTATGTCATGTGTATGTGTATGTATATATATATATATATATATGACAAAGGTTAACTTTCTCTCTACTTAACATATTCAATCTTTTCTCTAGCTCCTACAATACAGCATTATAACTGTTTCTGTATCCTTGTCTATTAATTTTAGCATTTGAATAATATCTCAGCTTCAAATGACTGATTTTTCTTCTCATGATAGATTATATCTTCCCATTTCTTTGCATGCCTGTGAATTTTTTATTGAATACTACGCAGTATTAATTTTACCTTGTTAGGTACTAGATGTTTTATATATTCCTATAAATATGCTTGACTTTTGTCCTGGAATGTGATTAAGTTACTTGGACACATGTTGATCCTTTCAGGTCTTGCTTTTAAATTTTAATAGGCAGGACCATAGATAGCTACATTGAGCCTAAGACTATTTTTCTCCTTCACTGGAGCAAGGCCTTCCTGTGTACTCTACTAGTACCCCTGAACTATGAATTTTTTCTCCTAGCAGTGAGAAAAAGCACTATTTTCATCCCTGCGTAATCTTTCAGGATTGTTTTCTGGAAACCTTTTGTGTGGTTCTTCTCCAACCTCATAAAGTCTCCTCACATCCTCACATGTAGATGTTGAATAGGACAAAAACTCAAGGGAAGTCCTGAAGATCATCAGAGTTCCTTTCTTTGTGTTCTCTCTCTCTCCCCGCCCCCAGGGTGGCCCAGTGCCCACCCTAAAACCTTTCTCCGTGCAGTAAGTGAGAAGGGCCTGCCTTTCTTGTTTTCTGTCTCTCAAGGATCACTGTCACCTTTACTTCCTATGCCCAATGTTTTGAGAACCATTTAAAAAAAGATTTTGTCTATTTTTTCAGGTTGTCTTATGCAGAAGGGTAAATACAGTTCCCATTACTCCATCTTGGCTAGAAGTAGAAGTTTGTATACATGGCCACAAATGGTAGTAGCTAAAATATTGGGTAGGGCAGAACTGGTTTATAATACAGGATCTCTAAAGGCAGAAAACGTAAAGTCTTAAAAATATGTTGTGGAAGTGGCTGTCCTGGGAAGTGAAGATGTTTGCCAGCATTCTTGACCGCTACCAAGTAGATGGTAGTGGTAACCTTGCTCCAGTCATGACAATCAAAAATGTCTCTAGACATTGTCAAATGTTCCCAGAGAGACACAGACATCCCCAGTTAAGAACTAACTCCACACAGTTTAGACTAACCTCCACACAAGAAATGTGTAACAGGTATCAGAAACTAGTGCACATGTTTGTACCAGTCATTTCTGATTAAAACTCCAAAAAGACCATGAATTTTGAAATATCTCAATCTGGAGACTTCTTTGCTTACCTTCTTCTGCTTCCTGCTTTATATATCCTAGAAAAGAAGGAACAATAAAGCAAATGTGGTAAAATACTAACATTTTGAGGATTCTGAATGGAGGGTGTCTGAAATTTTTGTACTATTCTTAAATTTTTATAAATCTGAAAGTATTTCTTACAAGGTTAGAATAAAGAAAGCTTATTAGTTGAGACAGAAAGTGTATCTTTCTTTAGGAAAGAAGCAACACTCCTGACTCAGACTTGGAGACCAACGCTGGGGAATTAAGCATGACGTTGGTATGGAAAATACTTTTGGC